GGGCGAGGTGATGGGGTGCAGGGCTTTGGTGGGCTGACGCTCTTGCTTCTTCTCCAGGCAAGGTTCAGTGCGAGAAAAGGCAGGTTTGAGCCACGTCCCTGTTGCGAGGGATGGAGGTTGTCAGGGGCACTGGGGCCAGGGATAGCTGTGGGAGAGGGAGTGAGGCCAGGGAGGGGTGGCAGAGGGGACAAGGGTGGCCGTTGCTTGCTGATGTCCGGAGCCAGTAGGCTTGGGAAAGGGATGAAGAAAGTAAATTGCAGTTTTACGTGGAGCCCTGGAGAAAAAACACAGCCCATCCTGAACAGATGCTCCAGGGTAAAACAAGCTGAGGGTGTGTTGAGGGCTGTGGAGGGAGCACAGGGGTGTTTGGTGTCTCTCAGTGGGGCTGGCTTGTGCTCTCCTTGCTTCTACGCATAGAGGGACTGCAACCCTCCCCGAGCAGTAACTGTCTCCTCTCTCTCCCTGGGCTCTCCCTTCCCACCTCCCACCTCCCCGATGCTGGCTGCACGCACTGCTGTAAGTACCTGCCGTGAGCATGGTCCCCCGCGCCTGCTTGAGTTGGGGGGGTGGCCCTGCCACACAGCCTGTCCTTCGTGCTCCTTTCCCTGTGGGTCTCCTGGCCTCTGGGAGAGAGGGACAGGGCTCACCCTTGGGTTTCTCAGGTGTGAGGCTCAATCCCCAGCTTGAGCAGAGCTCTGTGTGGGGTCCTGCCGTGGGGGGCTGAGCCCCTGCCAGAACCAGAGCTGCTGGGGTCACCCCTCTGCTCCCACCCACTGCCACCGTCCCCTGGCAGTAACCCACCAGGAGCCCTTTCCCTGCCAGAACTGAGCCCTCCTCCATCCCCTCCTGCCTCTGGGTGACGGGACAGCCTGGGGCACAGGGGCTCGGGGAGGTGGGTGGCACTGGTGGTACTGGGAGCGGGGTGAACACTATGCAGGAGCTACAGCTTGTTATGGTGCTATGGGCTACGAGCCATTTGGGTCCCTTCCTAGCCATATGAGCAACAGCCCCCCTCCTTGTCACCATCCCCACTGTCTGCCTCTGCACCCTTGTCTTGGGAGCTGTCAGCAGTTGGAAATGGATTATTCCCAGCTCCGTGCTGTGCCGTCCTGGACATAAATTGCTGGTGGCCGCCGGGGAGAGGGGAGGGAAGAGGATTTGCCTCATCCCAGGATGGATCTTTTCAAGTCCTGCCAATGGGATTCAGGGTCCTCATTACAGCTCTGCCTGCTCCTTTTGCAGACAACCTCCCTGCAGCCACGAAAAGCAAAACCAGCGAAGACATCGCACAGTCATCCAAGTACAGCCCTGCCTACTCCCCAGACCCATACTACCACTCCGAGTCAGAGTACTGGTCCTTCCAAGGCTCCCCCAAAGGTAACAGCCCCACACTGGGCTGGGGGAAAGGGAAACCAATTCCTGCCCCCAAACCCAGCCATTCTCTGGGAAGGAACCCCTTCTTCTGCACCCAGATACCTGCCAAAATGCCCCCAAAACCCTAGCAGCCCTTGGGACTCAGCTGTCCCCATGAAGCTGGGGACTGTTTCCTCCCTACCGGCCTCCACTTTCATCCCCATCTGACCCCCCATGTGTCTCCTTGCAGCTCCCCGGGCCCGGAGATTTTCATCAGGAGGCGAGGAGGACGGGTATGACCGGGGCATGCACAAGGTGAGCGATGTCCCTGCCCGCAGCCTGGCAGGGGGGAGTTTGCAGCAAGCTGCCCCCGTGGCAGCTGGCTTTGGGGAGGAGGCTCAGCCCAGCTCCGCCACCCAAGAAGGGGCCACCACCGTCCCTGCTGCCCTCTGCCATCTCTGCCCCCTTGGTCATCCCCGGCGTGGCGTCTGAAGGAGAGGGAGTGCACCCCAGCACCCTGTCCCCAGGGATGGGGGAGTAGATGGGAGATGCCGAGCCCATACCGGGAGGTGCCATGCCCTGCCGTGATGTGCCAGTGGTCCAGGAGGGCCGGGGGGAGGAAGGAGGGGTGCAAAGAGGCTTTCCCCCACTGCCCAGATCCAGAGCGGCATCGGCAGGCTGATCCTGAGGGAGGAGATGAAGGCTCGGTCCAACTCCTACGCAGACCCCTGGACACCCCCTCGCAGCTCGGCCAGCAGCAGAGAAGCCCTGCACACGGCTGGCTACGAGGGCTCCCTCAATGGCTGTAAGCACGACCCTGTCTGTCCCTCTGTCCGTGGCCCCAGCCTCTGTAGGAGGTTTGCTGGGGTGGAGAGGGAGGAACAGGGCCTGGGAAGGGGTGATGGGAGACATGCTGGGGACCAGAGCTGGACTTGGGAGGCTCTTTACCTCTCCGAAGGGTTCCACGCCTGTGCCCTGGCTGGATGGGGCATTGCCAGCAGGTGTTTGCAGTCTCTCTGGCAGCCTGGTGAAGTGCTTCACCGGGAAGTTGAAGGGTCCCTTGGAAATCTCACAGCACAGCCAAGCTGTGTGTCCTCCGAGCTATTTTAGGCTCGCTATGTGTGTACCTCTTCAGTAACAGCACATCTGGGACCTCCTGACACGCCAGACCTGGTGGCTGCCCCCAGGGTTGCCTTGCTTGCTTGCAATGCTCTCCCTGTGCAGTACCCAGGGCACCCAGCCCCTCTCCTCTCAGGGCTGCAGGGGGTCCCAGTGGTGTTGGAGTGCCTGGCAGCACAGATGCTCCTGCCCACATTGTGCTCCCCTCCTTGGCACACCTGCCCTCATGGAGCTGGGTCTGTTCAGGGAGGCTCAGGGAGCCCCTCAGCCCTGCTGGGCTCCTGGGACCCCGGAGGAGGAGCTGTGGGGCTGGCAGCCGCGCAGCTCTGTATGGCATGGAGCACTCAGTCCTCCCTGACGCCCGGCTCTGCTCTCCTTGCAGCTCCCCGGACGCACTACCTGGCTGACAGCGGTGAGTGTTGAGCCCACAGCCCTCTGGAGCCAGTCCTCTGCGGCTGTGGGGTCCAGAGCCTGAGCTGGAGGAGGTGCTGGGACCAGGGAGGAAGAAGGGGAGAGAAGAAGGAGCTCTTGGAAGGCTGGGCCAGGGTGGAGCAGAACCAGGGCAGAGTTGGTAGCAGTGCCAGGAGAGGACGGGTTAGGGAAACCGAGAGGAAATTGTGTTGAGCCAAAGGGTGAGGCGGGAGGACTGCCATGGGAAAGGGATTTTGAGGAGAGGGATTTCAGCATGGGAGGAAGCCAGGCTGGAAAGGAGTTGGAGCTGGAAGGAGACAGACCCAGGTGAATTTGGATGTGGGTCGGGACGTGGGAGCACAGGGGTAGATCGGCCCAGGGGTGCTCTCCAGCGGTGTGGGGCTCACCCTGTATTTTCACTTACACACCTTGGTGGCTTCTTTGCAGATCCCCTCATCTCTAAGTCAGCCTCCCTTCCTGCCTACAGGAGGAATGGGCTGCACAGGGTAAGTGCCTCCTGCCCGCATCCTGCTGCTGCCAGGCACCTCTGCACCCTTCATCCACCGTTCTTCCCAGGCCCCTCAGAGCCCCTGGTGCTCCCCTTTCATGACTGGGGTGTCCTGCTGCCCCCTTCTTTGCACGGCTGCTGTCACTGCTGGTCCCTGCCAACCCAAAATGACCCTTACTGGGGACCAAAGTGCCCTGTCCAGGCACTGCAGGACAGGTGCCTGCCCCAAACGTTCTGCAGGGCACGTTTCAGAGGGATGCTGGTGGTGTATCCCAGCATGAGAGCATTGCTTTATACCCTGGAGCAGCAATCACTGGGGGTCAGGAGACCTGGTTCTGCCTCCATGTGACCTGGGCTTGACACTTCACCTCCTCATGCCTCACTTTCCCCACTGCCAGGTGTGGGGAACAGATCCTGCTTTGGGGTAGATGGGTCCTTCCCCCCAGGGACATGGGAGGTGCCATGCTGAGCATCTGGAGGAGACCCCGTCTTACTCCTTCCTCTCTGTATCGCTCCCACAGCCTCCCAGTGCCGAGCTTTTCCACTATGACAGCACGAATGCCGTCAACTGGGGGATGCGAGGTAAGGCCCCGTGGGGCAGGGGAGGAGTGCAGGCACGGGACCCTGTAGGCACAGACCCAGATGCTGTGGGGCTGCCTACCCCACCACAGGCAGCTCTAGAAAATGAGATCTGGGCTGGAGGGATAAGGGAGGAGACAGGTGGGGGTCCCTGCAGCCCTGGGGGGAGGATGCTGGCAGCGGAGGGGTCAGCATGGCTCATGTCTCTCTTGTCTTTTTCTCTCTCCCCACAGAGTACAAGGTAAGATGCTCCAAGGAGCGGCTGCCAGCTGGAGGGGCGAGTACCACTCAGGACCAGGAAGTCCCAGAGACATGTCCATCTGTCCCCAGACCCTTCAGGAGGGAGCTTTGCCCTCTGCCCACCAACGCCCTACCTTCATCCCCTCCATCCCCCACCTGACAGCCCCGTCCTGGGACTGTGGGGCTCGGAGCAGAGTCCTTGCTGCCTGCCGGGGTCCCAGGCACTTGGCGGAGCAGAAGCGTCTCCTGGGTGCGGAGCAGGGGGTGGTTGTGCTGGTGGTTCCCTGCTCATACTTGCTCCTCGGCCACTTCCGGTTTTGCAGAGTGAACAGGCTGTTCAGAGCCATCAAGGTGATCCAAGGTGGATTAGGGTCACACTGAGAGCAACTCCCCCCTCTGCCTTGTCCCGTCCCAGCCCTGAGGGCAGCTGCCAAACAGGGCAGGAGGAGGCTTTTCCTTGGTGGCCCCCACAGCCTCATTCGCAGGTGTCCCTCTTCTCCTTTTCTGGCTCCGGAGCTACTCTATGGTCTTCCTGTCCCTGTGCAGATATACCCCTACGAGCTGCTCCTGGTGAAGACGAGGGGGAGGAACCAGCTGCCCAAAGACGTGGACAGGACTCGGTTAGAGGTGAGGAGAACCTTTTCCACTGGGGACAATCTCCTCAGGGCTCAGAGGGACACGATCCTGTGGGGTGTCCCCTTAGCCCAGCAGACAGTGTGGGGCTGCGAGGGGCTCGTGGATGTGTGAGGAGCATCTCACAGCTCCCCAGCAGCACACATGTGCCAGCACGCTGTCACGGTGGTCCTGCTGCTCCACTGGCCGGGCAGCACTGTTCCCCATGCCCACAGCATGAGGGCATCTGGCAGGAGGGAGCAGGGTGCTCCCCCTCTCCCGAGTGAGCACCCCTCACACCCAGCTGGGCAGACCCCCTTGCACGCCCTCCCACCCCGCTGTAGCCATACAGCCCTCATGGTAGCTGCGGTCCCCAGCCCTGGCCCAGCATCCCCTCTCTCCCCAGCGTCACCTCTCCCAGGAGGAGTTCTACCAGATCTTTGGCATGACCATCGCCGAGTTCGACCGCCTGGCCCTGTGGAAGAGGAACGAGCTGAAGAAGCAGGCCCGTCTGTTTTAAATGCAGTGCACTATAAATATATACATACCTATAAATATATACATAGAAAGATCTCTATATCGCAGCTCTGTATGATTCTCAGTGCTGTATGTGGCAGAGGCGCCCTCTGCACCCCTGAGAGTGAATTGGAGTCTCACACATCATTTTATGCTCTTTGTTTCCTTTTCTTTTCCAACTCTCTCCTTGGGTTCTCCCAGGGGCTAAAGCCTCGTGGGCCCCGAAGCACTTGGCGTTTG